TGATTACTAATCATTAGTAAAGCTTATTTCTTATATTGCCCATCTATTCTATAAAACATCCAAAAAAATAATTCTTAATGCTATACTAAATTAAGTTCAAAAAAAATACAACTTTAAAGCCAATTTATATAAAGTTTTATTAATAAATATTATTAACATTTTATACAAAAATTATTTCAATATCAAAATATATTTTAGCAAAATTTGAATAAAATTTATTGTATAGTTAAGTTTAAAATGATTTTTTTTTAGTATGTACTAAATTTAGTACAAACAAATAGCCATCAATTTAAAGTTAATAATAAGAATTTTTTAAAATTTAACTCTTAAAACTGTACTAAATTAAGTCTTTTGTACTAAATTTAGTATAGCTAACGGATACCCATTAAGTTACCTTTATCAGAGAATATAATCTCTAGCCCTTATTAAATAAGCTTGAACCCAAATAGTGATGTATTTTAAGCTCAGGTTTAAAATTCGAGTTACCTGACCGTTTAGAAGCACTATCTGGAATTCTGGTCGCTAGGCTGGAATTGATTAATTTTGCTCAAGATCACTAAAAATTTTACTAGAAAAGTCCATTCACTATGTAAAATGCACAGCCGATAATTTTGCTGTAGACTATGTTGGCTTAATGCCGGCTTCTGCCCTGTAAAAAATTAATGCTAGACAAAAAAACTGATGAGGTAATTTGATACTTATGTAAATTTGGTATACATTTCTCCGAAATTTAGAATCAAACATTACATATAGTGTTTGAATTCCAATGGTTTAGAAAATGCACAAATTTTGATGACTGTAAATTTGTAGAACTGATTTTAAGAAATCGATTTACCGGTACAGAATTTTTTTTATTTCAATTGGAAAAGGCTGTCTAGTCGTTATTTGTAGCGGTAGGTTACCATAATTACCATAATTACTGACCACTTTCAGTTTCACCCATAATATCCAACCACAATGCAACCAATGCGTCAAATGATCCGACCAAAAAACCATAAAAGGAAAAAATCAAAGCAAAAATAACCCAACATTTTTCTTTCCACCCTTTTAGTTGGTTCCATCCAAACAATTTTACCCAAAATAAAATTGGAATAATAGATAATAATAGTCCATTACCCGAAGCACCCAACAAAGCCATCAGATCAGAAAAATAAGGAATAGTAACAGCCAAATAAGTTGTAATTATTACGATTAATAATCTTAAAAGGACTCTAAAGATGAATTCACGAATTTTACCAATATTTGCAACATTAATACCCAAGTAATCTTCTATTTCTAAACTAAAAGCAGTTTGATATATTGGTAAAGCTAATAAGACGTGAGCTGTCATCATTAAAATTGAAGTAGTCACGGCAAAACCCGACGGAAGGTTTAAGTATATTGGAGAAAGAGTCGTATGACCATAAGTTATGTAAGCAGGAATGCCAATTAATAGATACATTAATGTGACAGTACACATGGCAAAGATGTAAACTTTTGGCCATGAGCGTGGATGTTTCATGCTAGAAATAATATTAAATAGTCAGTTAGTGAACTTTTGTAAGGAAATAATGCATTAATAATCATATTTCTCATAATTGTAATCGTAATGACAATAAAATAAAATTACCTTGCTTCAACATGAGGAAAAACTATGTTTCCAGCATAACTGAAACTGAAGGTTGCCATTGCGAGAGGTATGTCACGAAAGTTCACCAAATCATGATGAATGGGTTTATTTTGAGGAAATTCCATAATAGACGTTACAAAAACGACCAATACGGCAAGTGCGGTTGTTAATGCACCGAAAACACTATTGAAAATTCACAAAGTAGCATTTTCGCTTAAGAAAGAGGTACGAAATAGGAAACCAGATATCACGTGACAAGGACCAATACCTCAACCAAGCAGCCTCTTTCATAGTCTTTAAAAATATAAAAGGCACAGCCATAGCAGCAGAACAAATGTAGATCCAATTATTCATACCCAAATCAATTCCAATATTTACGAACAAAGGTTGGAGACTATCACCGGCCAGGATTAGATAAAGAATAGAACATCCTATACTTATAGAAGTAAAGAAGAACCCTACGATACGTAAACCAATAGTGCCAAATGCGTCATATGCCAAGTCAGACATTGAAGTTTTTCGAATCTTGCTAAAAAGGTGAAATTACAATTATACCAAGCGCTATAATAATAATAGATAGAGACTAAAAAACATACCCATCATGATATAAACATTCGATTAATTTTATGTTTGCGTAAGTGCATATTGTAGCGGAAAGAAACATAACTGGCAGGGAAATCCAACCACCTTGTTGAATCGCGTATGGAATACCGAGCGTGCCCGATCCTGCTATCAGACACCTGTATTTAAGAATATAAAAAAAGATTAAAGATGTTGGCTAATTACAATTTTCTTTTAGAGACTTACACAACGTTAACATAAGCGGTCCAATTTGATCCTTTTGTTTCTTGGTTAGAAGTACTTATAACATCACCAGTCTCGATGAGTGTCGAATCGGTACTCGCTAAATTAAAGACTTTTCTGAATAACCCGAATAATTACTATAACATATTATTTTGAAGATAGCTAACCTATAGGCGTTGCACCATAATTCGGCCATGAATCGTAATCACGTAAAATTTTTGAACTTTGACTTGATTCACTCATTTTTTTATTTTTTTTTAATTATTAAATAATTATTAATTTTATTTAAATGATTTTGATGGATCTTTTATATTAGCAAAAAAAAAAAAAAAATCCATTAATTCGTATCAGTTTACAAAATAATTTGTTGTATCAGTTTAACAAAATAATTTGTTTTCCCTGATAAGTATAAGCATATACAGCCCCAGGTTTTTTTTATTTCCGTCTTAGCCCCGATTCCAAACATAACATTTAGGTAACGTCAATAATTTATCAAAATTCAATACATCTGATAATTTAGAGTTTAAATTTGGCAACCAAGAAAAAAACCAGTTATCTATGGAACACAGTCCACCCGATACTCTTCAAGACATGTGTATGCAAAGAACAAGATTATTTGTTGGGATATGAAACACCTATTAAGGTACACACAGAGACAATGCTTAAGATCAAGCAAAAAGCCAAATAACCTTAATCGAAAGGCGGATGGGTAATGATAAATGAAGATCTAATCTTAATATTTTCCTCATCGGTTATTTATTACCGGAAAATATCGTTCCACGAATTACCCAAACAAACAAATATTGATGTAGGACCCTATGGTATAGTTCCTGTCAAAATAACAATACTCTCTTGCACCGATTATCTGATTTTTTTTTTTGTTGATTCGGAAAAGACAACGGATTGATCTTAGACAACAATCACTCATTTTACTCGATAACTTAAAAAGACTTGTTATCTTTAAGCATTTACACGTAGTACAGAATCTCTAAATGGTCAAATTGTAATATTCGTCATTCTAGTCATTCATAATTATCACAAGCTCTTGAGAAAAGTGTATTCCAAATATTCTTAAGCATAATGATACTTTTCAAGACTGTCTGATCATCAAAAACTATCATGTTATGTACATACAAGAATTTAAAATTTGTTAATGATATTTAAACAGTTTAGGTTTATTATGAATTTAAATTAATACCGATAAATTTATCAATTGTATTAATTTCCGTAATACATATCATCACTGCGGTTGATGGTAAAGCATTTTATTTTCGATAACAGTATATACCGAATTAATACCGATATGGAAAAGGGTTATTTTTGGTAACAATATAACGATAATACATCAAAGTATTATTTATGGTAACAGTATAATTAATATATATATATAGTATCATTACACGTTGTGTCACATCGATATTAATGTCAAAAATCGTCTACGTATCTCTATTAATAATTATCGTTATATGTACTTTGATAATCATAATCATTATAACCATAAACTCATTATTTATCATTATCGTTATCTTATTGATACGTACTGGAATTATACTGGAATAGATCGACACTATCCGGATCAGTCCGGCATAAAATTCGAACGAAAGAAAAAAAAGTGAATAAAGTGAAACAAGGTTTGCATTGGCAACGTTGCAGTTGCAGTGAGTAGGGTAATAACTAAGGGTAAATAATTTTTAATAAGTGGTAGTATGAGGGATGTTAGGCATAGTAATTTTGAAAGTACAGTACATATTTTGTAGGAAATTTGATATAAAAATGAACCAAGTTCGTGAAAATAAAAAGTTTGGATTAGAATGTTAGAGTTGATAGAAATAAATAAAAAGTTTTTATATGTTAAATTTATTCTGGCTATTTTAACTAGTGAATAAGTTAGGTTTGACTATTTGTTTTTTTATATTTTTGCATTTTTGGTTTGTCGGCTTGTTGGGATAGTTGTATTTTGTGTTTGTGGTTGGATATTTTTCTTGAGTTTGTATTTCTTGACAGATAGTGTAGGTTAGTATGCTAAAGATAACGCTATAGCGGATATTCATTATAACGGATATTCATTATAACGGACAGAATTAGATAAAGAATAGAACATCCTATACTTATAGAAGTAAAGAAGAACCCTACGATACGTAAACCAATAGTGCCAAATGCGTCATATGCCAAGTCAGACATTGAAGTTTTTCGAATCTTGCTAAAAAGGTGAAATTACAATTATACCAAGCGCTATAATAATAATAGATAGAGACTAAAAAACATACCCATCATGATATAAACATTCGATTAATTTTATGTTTGCGTAAGTGCATATTGTAGCGGAAAGAAACATAACTGGCAGGGAAATCCAACCACCTTGTTGAATCGCGTATGGAATACCGAGCGTGCCCGATCCTGCTATCAGACACCTGTATTTAAGAATATAAAAAAAGATTAAAGATGTTGGCTAATTACAATTTTCTTTTAGAGACTTACACAACGTTAACATAAGCGGTCCAATTTGATCCTTTTGTTTCTTGGTTAGAAGTACTTATAACATCACCAGTCTCGATGAGTGTCGAATCGGTACTCGCTAAATTAAAGACTTTTCTGAATAACCCGAATAATTACTATAACATATTATTTTGAAGATAGCTAACCTATAGGCGTTGCACCATAATTCGGCCATGAATCGTAATCACGTAAAATTTTTGAACTTTGACTTGATTCACTCATTTTTTTATTTTTTTTTAATTATTAAATAATTATTAATTTTATTTAAATGATTTTGATGGATCTTTTATATTAGCAAAAAAAAAAAAAAAATCCATTAATTCGTATCAGTTTACAAAATAATTTGTTGTATCAGTTTAACAAAATAATTTGTTTTCCCTGATAAGTATAAGCATATACAGCCCCAGGTTTTTTTTATTTCCGTCTTAGCCCCGATTCCAAACATAACATTTAGGTAACGTCAATAATTTATCAAAATTCAATACATCTGATAATTTAGAGTTTAAATTTGGCAACCAAGAAAAAAACCAGTTATCTATGGAACACAGTCCACCCGATACTCTTCAAGACATGTGTATGCAAAGAACAAGATTATTTGTTGGGATATGAAACACCTATTAAGGTACACACAGAGACAATGCTTAAGATCAAGCAAAAAGCCAAATAACCTTAATCGAAAGGCGGATGGGTAATGATAAATGAAGATCTAATCTTAATATTTTCCTCATCGGTTATTTATTACCGGAAAATATCGTTCCACGAATTACCCAAACAAACAAATATTGATGTAGGACCCTATGGTATAGTTCCTGTCAAAATAACAATACTCTCTTGCACCGATTATCTGATTTTTTTTTTTGTTGATTCGGAAAAGACAACGGATTGATCTTAGACAACAATCACTCATTTTACTCGATAACTTAAAAAGACTTGTTATCTTTAAGCATTTACACGTAGTACAGAATCTCTAAATGGTCAAATTGTAATATTCGTCATTCTAGTCATTCATAATTATCACAAGCTCTTGAGAAAAGTGTATTCCAAATATTCTTAAGCATAATGATACTTTTCAAGACTGTCTGATCATCAAAAACTATCATGTTATGTACATACAAGAATTTAAAATTTGTTAATGATATTTAAACAGTTTAGGTTTATTATGAATTTAAATTAATACCGATAAATTTATCAATTGTATTAATTTCCGTAATACATATCATCACTGCGGTTGATGGTAAAGCATTTTATTTTCGATAACAGTATATACCGAATTAATACCGATATGGAAAAGGGTTATTTTTGGTAACAATATAACGATAATACATCAAAGTATTATTTATGGTAACAGTATAATTAATATATATATATAGTATCATTACACGTTGTGTCACATCGATATTAATGTCAAAAATCGTCTACGTATCTCTATTAATAATTATCGTTATATGTACTTTGATAATCATAATCATTATAACCATAAACTCATTATTTATCATTATCGTTATCTTATTGATACGTACTGGAATTATACTGGAATAGATCGACACTATCCGGATCAGTCCGGCATAAAATTCGAACGAAAGAAAAAAAAG